ACACACACACACACACACACACACACACACACACACACACACACACACACACACACACACACACATACACATACACACGTATATATCTGCTTGGATTTAAAATTAGATGTTTTCAATACTATCATACGTAAGTCATAGTGGAATATCTTTTCATTCGAATTGGATTTGATTTGCAATGCAATCGATTTTCCTTACCGTTTTCTCTCGTTTCTCAAATTCCAGCGATGTAGCCGTGCTTGATAAATTGATTTTCATAGATGTATATGGGCTTGTTTAGCCATGACAAACCAGATTTTCGTGTATTTCATATCACCTTTTCCCTGAGGGATTCGATTCAGTTTGTCAAAAATGTTGAAAGGTAAATGAAAGCTTTAAGAAGATTATTGGTCATCGATTTTTTTTTAGTCCGAGAAACGAAATACAGCGATTAAAAAAATTCTGTTTGCCAAATTGAAAGCGCAGATTTATATAAAGATATTAATTCGTAAAAAATATTCGATGACACACACACATAGTTTGTTTGTAAAAAGAGAAAAAAATATATAAATAAGGGAATTAAGATAGTTCCCAAAATAAGAATTTAGATAAAACGGTTTTTACATTTATCGAGCTCATGTATCCAATACCTACCGTTTAATTAACTTTCTTTCATAATCTTTAATTCCAGTTCTTGTGGCGAAAGAAGAAAACGAGATTAGTAAAGACTCGAAATTCCATTACAAATATAAGAAGAGGAAGCAGACGGATAAAAATTGCAAAATGGATGAAAATCAACAGCGGCGAGGACCGGTATTTCGGTCACTCAACAGTCAACATGAATCCTTCATCAGATTTATTAATACAACACCTCATACTATTACTTTATACTGGATGGATTATCAAGGGCAGGCAATTGATTATGGCGATCTATCATCTGGGAACTACAGGGAAATAAACACGTTTTATACGCATCCGTGGATTTTCGTCAATAAAGAAACGGGCGACAGGTATGTGTAATGACAATGACGTTTGCTTGCCGATATTGTATCAGCAATAATCCGTGTGTAATAAACTATTTCTAAATCATGGGTAATCATAGTTTGCACTATTATAGTTTATGATCATAATTTGCAATAGTGATCATAAAAGGATAATCCATAAAGATAGATCATAAAAAGATCATAAGAAGAATTTATTACTTTGAAAATTTTGTGGCAATTTTTATTGCCACAATTTGATTTTTAAAATATTACAAAAAAAATGGATATAATATATTATCCATATTTCTAGATTAGTTGCATTATTTTATCTGCCTAATTGCTTAAATTGTTTTATCTATAAAGTTTAAATTTTTATGGATTATAATCCATTAATCCATTTGTATTTCTAATAGAGATTATCACGAGATTAGTACAATATTTTATATGACATTCGTCCGTTAGTCCACAGAGTACGAAATATTTTCGAAATATTGGCATCAAAATAGACGGATTAATAATGACTAGGGCAAAACGAAACAGGTATTTGGTGAGCCAGCGTGATGTTTTCTTTCCGGCGCCGTGGTTTCTTCAGTACCGTGGTGTTACGCAGGACAAACTGCCGCAAAGAATCGAGAGGACCAACGTGTACATCGTGCTACCGATGTTTACTCTACAACAATTGTCACTGAGAGTCATCAAAAACTGTCTTACATACGATTCGCAGGCTTTTCATCTTGATATTCCACGGAGTCTCCAATTAGAGCTTGTTACAATGCTACCGAAGAAACCTCAATCTTCGTGACATGTTTTCTCATAACGTACTATTGTTTTTACGCACGATTGGGGTATCGCGATTAAGATAATAATTCCAAAACTTGGACATTTTTTTGTAATTTTTGCAAAGACGAAGGAAATATTTTACGAATATTTAAGTATTTCTTTTTTATAAAAAAAATAGAATGAATTTTTTCGTTTCTTTTTTTTTGTAAATATATGTACAATTGTATACCGCATATTATTTAATGCCATTGCATTACAAATGCAATTCTCAAAAATACTTATTATATATTGATTTCTTGGATGCAAAAATGTATATATATATATATATAAAATATAACGCATCGAATCTTGTAGAGCTTTTAGGATCAATTGACAAATGGGGATGCATTGGTATCCAGTATTATCCGGTACTTCCTTATTATCCGATCGAATAGCCGGATTAGTATCCAATAATATATATCTGACCTGAAATTTTATATTAAAAATTTGCGTTATTGTAATACTGAATTCTATTCTTTTCTGTTGAACTTCTTGTGCAATTTTTGCACAGTTTATGCCGGTAATCGAAATAGATAAAAAAAAAAGTGAGATGTTTGCGAAAAGTTTGAATGCCTGGTTCTTCGCGTAAAACGTTTAACTTGAAATTTTGTGTAAAATATATTTTTTAACTTAGAAAAATTCTTTAAAGAATCGAGATATAAAAAAACTGTTTGTTTACAAAGTTGTCATTTTCATTCACCATGCGTATTCATCTCGCAAGCATTTTATATTCACAAAATTCGTATTATTTATAAGAGCGCTCGGTTATATGCCATAAGATATACACCGTTGTGTTTAATACGAATAAATTTCACAATGACTTCCATTGGTATCCTAACTCTGTACAACGATTTCAACGCCACTCAGGAAGTTTCAGGAAAATCGTCGATAATAATCTGAACTCGTTTCCGCAATTTGTTAGCAGAGTTCCAAAGGTATTAACCGGCTCCTCTTCTGCACCTCGTCCTTTTCGCTCCTTTCACATTCCTCTCATTTTCCACATGAGTTCGATAGAAAAGTTTCCTTCGTTAATTAACTGTTAGTCAAGTATGGAGTATGTTCAGAAATAAAATGTATAGTAACGGATCATAATTGAAGTGTAATTTTTGTCAAATACGTCACAAAAATATTGTAATAAAAATATATTACAGTTATATAAATACAAAATATATATATATGTTAAACTTATATCATAAAAACTGTACAGAAAAAAAATATATTTTTAAATAATATCTGACTGTCAAATGATTTACATATTGAAACCTTCAGAAACTTTTATTTCAAGGAATCCATGTGTTTTATAAGAGAAAACTCGCTTTTCGTAGCCGGAATAGTTGCTGAAATGAAATTTCAGTAAAACTTGATAACAAATTTGGCTATTCCACGAAACGCGAGTGCATGAAATACAACAAAACATTTTTTCTGCATCTTTCAGTATATATATTTTTATTATGCGCTCATATGTAATAAGAGATCGCAGGCGATTGAGAGAGGGGTGTGGAGAGGTGGTGCAGAGAGGGCTGTCGGTAAGTCAATTTCCACCGCGGTTATTCGAGTAGTCAGCAATCGATTAAACACGCGCTAAATGGACTCTGGTCACTTCCTCTTAATCCATCCTGACCCTAATGGGTTTTAAACCGTCGCGGAATGTCATCGAACAACCAGTCTGCGGTCAAACTTGCCTATTTGGGATTAATATCCGTACATAACATAAATTCCGTATTTTGATCAGAGAGTATGTGAAGTTGACTCCTAATTAAAATCCTGTTATCGATAATGGAGTTGACAGTTAAAAGGAATGAACGGAATTTTAGGTATTGTTGTTTGATTATAATGTGAATTTTTCGAGAATGTATTTTTACATTCGCTCGCAATATTTATGGGATGCAACAAAGAAAGGAAAAAACGGGGGGGGGGGAATAAAGATTGTGATCTATAATAAAGATTGCGATTTCAAGAATACGAAATTGAGAGAAATAGAGGAAGACAAAGAAGAATTGTGAAATTAAGGCAGGTCGTGGGAGCAATTAAAAATTTCTGTCATCTCGTATGACATGTACAATCAGATCGAGATACTGATTGTAAATCTTGAACAAAGAACTAATTAAATGTGAACTACATATAAAATATCATTAGCGTGCTAACAATTCCCAAGTTGCTCTCTGCTCAACAAAAAATACTAGATTTTAATAAATATAATATTTGGTTTGAATAGTTCTAAATAAATATTTAAATAAAACTAAATGTAAATAGATATTTATTTGATCCAAAAAAACTATTAACTTGATTTAACTATTATTTTTTTATTGAGTAAATATTTATTGTAAACAAATGTTTACTTAGTACCATTCAAAGAAATATGTATTAAGATTTAGTAAATTTTGTTTTTAGTGAACAATATCTTATTCTATTTATAATAATCAAAGAACAATAACAAATAAATGCATGGTTTTAGCGTTTTAGAACTATATTGGAATTTGCGAATTTTTTTCGTAGCCATATATTTTTTTCACGCGCGTGAAAGTTTTTCTTTCTTTTTACTGAAAATTTAACTGGCTGCTATTTATTTTTCGAACGTTTCGGTGCTCGAAACTTTAAATATTTCTACCCGATTGCGGGAATTGGTCGTTTCGAAAGTTACGGTGAGAAGATTTTATATTGGGACGTGCTTACACGTATCTTCCGTAAATTTTGCGATCTTCATTGCGTACGAATTTACAGGTTGACCAGTACGGCTATTCCCGTGGGATTTAATGCGGTCAACTGAGTTGATCGCGATCAATTCCAAGCGGGCCAAATTCAATGGTAAATATAGAAACGTTACCGTCTATTCCCATGGAAAATCTGCTTGATTGTAAATTTAGCGATGGATTCTCTCGACGATGAACAGAACTATCTAAATTTAGAGCATGAAACATATCTTTTGACGCGTGAACTTTGACTTTTCGATTAATATCAACGATAAGAATTCTTAATTATTTCTCTAAATCGGTTCGATCACTTCAAATTTTGATTAATAAATCACGTTTGCAGCATTGGTATTTTAATGAATCAAATTAACCGATTTTCACATCGATTCTTAAAAAAGACCTCGAAATGTGTCGCGCTTGTCGATTGGCGCCGTTCGATTTAAATATTATTATGATCGCTGATCTCTAGTACGTTGAAACTATTTCAAGAAGAACGAAGATCCTGGCAGATCGCAAATGTACTTGGCAGATTCGTAGAGTTCATAGCTGAAGTTTGTTGTTACACGAGCACTTCGACGTCGTCGCTACACCAATGGTATCCGTGTTCCGGAGCTCGGGTTTAATACTGGTTTAATCATGACCAGGTCCGCGAAGTTCGTCGTCTGTGGTTTTTGGCTGGTGCATAATACGCCCCCCCGCGGAAGATCGTACAAACAACAGTGTGCGGCGAAAACCACACGATTCCCTGAGGTGCAACCATTTCGATTACAACCATGAAACTGCATCGCGTAACGGCGCAAACCGTCATGGCGATTGCTGCAATACCGTAGTTACAATGCCAACATGTAAATAGTTATGCTGTGCGGGAGCTCTCAATTTTTGAGGACCAGCTGTGTCCCACACGTATGAATCGACGTCGATTTGTATCGCGAAAAGTTTTCAATTTCATTCGAAAACGTGTGGTACGCGAGTAATAGATTTGTTGCACAAAATAAATATTTTTTTTTTTTTTTTTCAAAATTGACATTGTATTTATTTTTCTAACATACTTGCTTCTCTACAATTTGTCGAAATATTCTCTACTTCTATATAATTTATTTAATTTAAATTATGCAAATATAAAATATGGCTTATCGGAAGAAAACTGTATTTGTATTATTTTAAAAAATATATTCATCATTTAATTTTAATAATTTTAATTTAGGATTGTTATAAAGCGTTGAATAGTAATTTCAGATTATTTTTATCTCATCGAACACGCTACGAAGTATCGCCATGTTATACATATAGGCAAGTACGCGTCATGAAATTCGAGAGCTTACCCATTAGTTGGGGAATCTCCAAGCACAAAGCTGATTCAGACGTATTAATTAACACAGATGCGATTATGCAATTTGCATGCTGTTAGCGTTATTAACGCCATTCGCGAAAATTGCGTAATAGAAAAATATCAAAGAGAGTATCAAATGGATGGATATTTGGTTTGTCGCGAAAATTAACCTCGATAAAATAACTCTCTGTACTGACACATATGCAACATCAGCTAAATTTAATATAAAATTAATAATTATTCGAAATTATTCTCGCTATTTGGAAAGGTAAATAAAATAATTGTGTAAATGCTTTGTCATCAGTACTCGCGGTCAATAGAAAGTCTCAGAAATCTTTTCGCACAAATGAATAACAATACTTGCTGTGACCGCATAAAATTAAATACACTATGCCAACAATCTGTTTTCCTACGTGGAGGATAATTTATTGATTTTTGTTAAAAATATTGCAAAGAGAATTATTAGTACCACGCTGTTATGTCACGTTCCATGTTTTCCTATTTTTGTGCGTTCGCTGTTCAAACATTGCACTGTTACAAATCAAATATTTGCAATTGCATACATCCCCGAGAGGCTTTCGAGCTCTTTTGTTAACGGAAAATCCGGATTATCGATCAACGTCGTTATCATAGAGAAAAAATTTAGAATAAATAGAATAACGGCAGTTCCATCTTCAAACATGCACTCGCCACTCGTGTTTTATCAGACTTTTCTCTCTGAATGTTATTTTTAAATTTTGTTTAACTATCAGTTACCTCTTGACCTTTGCACGATACCGATTTTATAGTATTGCCCTTTGTTATTATTAATTATTTTCACAATGAGACAAGTCAATAAGACATTTTGCGATTCGCTTAACAAAAAGAAAAAAGTCGATTATTCCATCTCATATTAATTTTTTTAACAATAAAATTTTTTAAATATTTTTTTTTATTACTTTTATGGAACTTTTTTCAGCTTTAAGTATTCAAGCTTTAAGTATTGGTAGGCGAAATTATAAGGAACCATAAATTCTCGTAAAATATTCATTAATTTACAAAGTTAAAGAGATGGAAATTAATAGTT